ATTCACTACCAACATATAATTTGGGTGGAATAGAATGCACAGATGGAATGGCAGAAGGAAACAGTTGTTTTCTTTTTCCTTCTATTGCCTTGGTATGGTGCTTCTGAAAATGACTGATGCTGTAACTGATCAGTCTTACTTCTTCAGCTCCTTTACTTTCATTGTTCAAGTTCTTCGTAGATTGCATGTGCTGATGGTGTACTTCGGAATTTAGTCTTCCGAATGAGACTGCGAGTAAAATTGCAACAAAAATACATACGGAGATGGAGATGAGGGATGGAGGTGGGGATAAAGATTTAAATCTGCAGTTAAAAAATCTTAGAGTAAATTATCTGTGTATGCATATGTAAATTTGGTTGATTTCAAAACAGATGTCAAGAGTTACACAAGTTAAAAGTAAACATTCTGGCAGTTTGTAGCTCTACAGTTTCTTCAGTCCTTGGGACAGCTGTACTTGCTACTCATATTATTTTGCATTTTCATTGCATTAGTGCCTTTTGAGGGGGGTGGTATAGCAATAAGAGTCTTAACAGTGAATGCTGGGATCAGAATAATGATTTTGGAAATTCTAGTAATGTACTCATGTGCTGTCAGGATCACCACTTAATTTAATTTAAACATAGCAGTTACAATATTAAGAAATATATTCTGCTAAAACTTTCTGCATTATGTATCAAAAATAACAATTGACTATTTGAATATCAGGTTTTAAAGACAATGGCTTGAAATAGCTATTGCCTTTTCAGTTTAAAATAAAATTCAGCTGCAAGAAATACCAACAATTTCTATACTTGGAAAATATTAGCCTCCCTTTTATTATTCTGGGATTCATGTCTACGCTGTTATTAAGTTTTCCCCATTCTTTAGCTTTTGTAGCATCTGCTGCCAAATGAACACATGCAGATAGAAATAACCACTGCTTGCACTCTTCCATAGTAGAGAAAGTTCAGTAATTCTGATACCTAATAAGAGAAGAAGGGGAAATGATATTTCCTATTTTTTGTAAGTCATTGAACATTAGCTATCCAAAACAAAGTTTTGTAAGATGAAACAGCAAGTTCAGGTGACAGAAGTGAGACATGCAGAATTAAATGTAGAGCAGTAACTTTTCTGCAGCTATAAGGGATGTATACTTAATTTAGATAAGCTTGATAACTTACAAAACTTAGTTTATCAAATCAGTGTGACCTTGAACAGTCGTAAAGTACATGTTTGGGAGAGCATAGATTTTTTGAGCTGATTCATTTGGTTGAATGGCACTTAATGAGCACTGCTTGCTAAATGGTTGGGCTGAATGACCATTCCTAAGCTTTCATGGGTCAAACAAAGGTAAAGAACGTCAATATTTTTCAGTCATTTATCTTCTTCCACGTCTGTGGAGGCCAATTGCTTTGTTTCTAGCTCCTTCTATTTCTGACTTGAAATTAGTAGAAGTAACTGTTCTGAAGCACAGCGTTGCCATGAAAGCAAGTGAAGCAGTCCATTGAAAAGACATGCTGACCCACTTTCAAGTGCCAGCTTTCATTGGTTCTTTGCGGAGCAAGAAACTCCTTCAAGTTTTTGCTATTTCTCCCCTCTGATTTCTCATTGCAAAAGAAACATGTCCCCTCTCACACACTCACTCACTTTTTATTTACTTGTCATGGAGTAAAGAATGAATCCCCCCACCCTGAGCTTGAATCTGTTTTACAATGCAATTCTAAACATATTTATTGGGAAATTATGCATAAGATTGTAGCCTTAGTATTAGATGACTATTTCCTTTGTTTCTGACATACACCTTGTTATGAGCTTCTCATGGAGGAAATATGCTTCAGCCAGAATGATGGTACATTTCCACAAGGGATTCCGTCTGATCAGAGTAATTTATTCTATGAAAAACAGGCCTTTAATTGTTATTCTTGGCTGCGGTTGGGGACAATAGTGAAATATTACACAACATATTGCCACGTGCAATAGTAAAATACCATTCCATTCTTGCCAACAGCAATGTGCAAGTCTCCTGACTCCCTCCTGCATCAAGCTCAGAGTTGGATGTTGTTATTTAATCTAAATCATTTGCTTTTCCTTCATCCAAAACTAACAAGAGGTTTAAAAAGAGTTACAGTTTTATTGGAACCATTTGCTCAGTTTACTTTGCCAAAATAATTGACTTAAAACTATTCTTTTTATTTGGGTTAAAGTTGATTCCTCAGTTCTACAGTGATGTGGGCTATTTAATTTTTTTCCCTACTTCTAATAGCAACATGAAATATATAGAATAATTTTGTTGGGTCACAATAAATTCCTGGTATCCCTTTATCAATGACAGCAAGCAGATTGGGGTGGGGTTGGTGAGGGAAATACTATACTGAAACTTGAGATGTTGCTATACACCACATGGATTCTAATAGGAACTTAAAAAAGGAAAGAAACAGAGTTGTTGGGTAACATACAGTTATTACATTGTATTGCATATTATAGTCCAGCTGACAATTGCTACAGAATACAACTGAGCAAATGTCATTAATTACTGTTGTGGCAGAAATATGACAAATATGGCACTGAAGACATCAGCCACATGCATTGCACAGACACAGACACAAACACACATACAGTTTTACTTCATATTTACATGAAGACCTGAGAGCCCAAATAATATAGTACAGTGGTATACATTTTTTGCACATCAGTATTTTCCTCTTAGCCTGCCTGCCTGCCTTCCTTCATTTGAATTGTATGCCAACCTATTAGCCATAAGTCTTTCTCTGGGAGCTCACAACATATACAAGACAATAAAAAGAAATTCAAAGTTCACAATAAAACCAATAATACAAATAAAATAAAATAATAATCAATAAATCTAGCATATACTCAGTGAGAACAATATTAAATAAAATAAGATAAAACAACATGAGAGGGTATATAAAATTAATATATTAAACTAATTAAAACAACATAAAAAGTAGAATAGAATTATACATAAATTAACAAAATAAAATGTCTGGCACAAAATAATGGTGCAGCAGCCACCACAACAATAAAAGCCGATTAAAAACCATCTAAAGGCATAAAGAGATGGAGCCAACCTACTCTCCAGTAGGACTGAATTCTACAGTTGGGGTGCTGCTATGGAGAAGGTCCTCTTTCTTGCCATCTGCCCCTTTACTTCATTAGGAGGAAGAATACAGAGGAGGGGTTCAGATGACAACTGCAGTGACCGGGTGGTTACACATGGAGCAAGGTGTTCTTTCAGAGAGCTTGGTCCCAAGCCATTTAGGGCTTTATATGTTATTGTGAACTCTCTGAAATGGGCCCAAACAGCAACTAGTAGCCAGTACAGCCTGTGCAGGACCAGCATAAGATGTTCATGAGCACCAGATACACTGCCCAATTTTGGATAAGTTGCAGTGTCCAGACTATTTGAAGAGGCAGCCCCCACATAGAGCACCTTGCAGTAATCCAGATGAGATGTTACCAGTGCATGAATGACCACAGCAAGGCTCTGTTCAACCAATTCGAGGCACAACTGATAAACCAGCCAAAGCTGGTAAAAAGTGCTCCTGGCTTACCAAGTCCACCTGAGCAACACGTGACAACTCAGGATCTAGGAACAATCCAAGGCTGTAAATTCCAAGACTATGGAATGCACTCCCCAGAGAGGTCCGCCTGGCACCGCCATTATATGTTTTTTGGCGCCAGGTTAAGACTTTTTATTTAATCAATATTTTAATATGTTTTAATATTGAATTTTATTATTGTATTTTTTTTTTACTTGCAGCCAGAGTGGGTCGTCAATTTATTTATGCTGTAAGCCATCCAGAGACATAAGTAATTGGATGACATACAATTTTTATTTATTTATTTATAAATAAATAAATCTAGTCCTTTAGAGGGAGTGCAACCCCATCCAGGACAGGTTGCAAATTCCCCAGTTGGACAGAGGAACTCCTCACCAACACGATCTCCATCTTATCTGGATTGAACTTTAGCTAATTGGCACACATCCAGTTTACTACTGAGCTCAGACATTCATTTAGAACAGTCACTGCTGTACCTGGGTTTGATGAGATAGGGAGAGCTGAGTGTCCTCCTGATGACCTCTCCCAGCAGTTTCATGTAGATGTTGAAAAGCACGAACAGGGCTTTGCAGGACTCCATGCCACAAGGATCATGACACAGAGCAAAATCTCCCACCACCACAAAGCTGTGCCCCCAACTCCCAATCTGGCCAACCTCTCCAGAAGGATATCATTGTCAATGGTATCCAAAGCCACTGAGAAGTCCAGGAGTATCAACAGTGCTGTGCGTCCCCTGTCTCTCTCCTGGAAGAGGTCATTCCACAGGGCAACCAAGCCAGTCTCCATTACAAAACCAGGTCTAAAGCTTTAGCAGGCTGTCCATAAACTGCTTGATCACCTTTGCCACAATACGGGATGCTGGTGATTGGTCAAAAGTCATTTACATCAGCGGGGTCTAAGCTAGGTTTATTCAGGAGTGACGCAATAACTGCAGTATTCAAAGCAGGGGCCACTACTCCCTCTCTTAAAGAGGCATTAACAACCTCCTGGACCCAGACTCAAACCGCCTTTTTAGATTTTCCAAGATGGGCAAGGATCGAGCGAGTAGGTTGTCATTTGATTTCAAGGAAGTTAGTATGCAAGAGTTTTTAGGATTATGACCTTCAAAAAGTCATAATATTGTAATTATTATTCTAAATAGACTTTATGTTTACTGTTCATTTTCCCAGTCTAAGAGCTAGCTGAAGGATAGTTTTTGCTTTCAATAATTGTATTAACTGTTCCAATATGTTAGCTTTATCCTACCTAAGGCACAGCTATACACAAGTGGCTAGTGAAGCCACAGGGAGGCAGAATTCCTGAAAGTTAGATCTTGTCCCCTCATTTTTTGATTAATAGAAAAAGAAAGAAGCTGAGTAAACTCTAGCCAGTAGACAATCATTTAGGATTTTTCTTCTTTAAAAAAAGTGCATCATAATGAACAGGAAAGCACATACTCACCCTTGTAACCAGCAGCATTTATTTTCCAGTCATTGGCAATCAGATGTCCTGCCCGTGAAGTTCTTACAATGATATGTTGTATATCTCTCCATGTCAGTAATCGACTAGGGGAAGACAATGAAATCCAGAGTTATTTCATTAGACAAAACAATTCAAAACAAAACCTGGAGGAGTGGGAGCAGAGCTAAACAGAGAAAGGAAAGGCAATGTAGTTTCACCTCCATCATTTTCAGAGTGGACAGTATTTTAACATGCAGGAAGTGGTTCATGATTACAGGAAGACCATTGTATGTATGTATGTACTTTCAACTAAACTCATTTTAATGACTTTAGCACATTTTGATGTGAGGTAGACAATTCACATAGTGATTAGGACAATAAAAAAGTTTCATACTTTAAACATATAGATGAAACTATAATAGAATTGTATATCAATTATTTCCCCAGTATCATTGATATAATGGAAGATTCAGTGTTTATCATGCCATTGTCTTGTGAATTTTATGGGGGATTATCTTCTTGTAATTCTCCTATGTTTTGCCACTGGCTCTTCCATCTTCCTTCTTACTGTAGAAAATGTGTTAAGAAAACAAGATGGAATTGCTGCACAATATCTTCTAATTTGTCACTCCAGGAGTCTCCACCTGGAAGTACCTCTAGTAATCTCATTTTGAGTGGTTCCAGGTGTAAGCATTCCCTGTAACAGCAGTTTCTTTCAAGGAAGGAGTTAGGAACTCTGGTTACTAGCTTGCAAGATGGATACAGCCCCTTCCTAAATTGATCTGCCAATATATTCCAATTAGCAGCCATTGGTGAAGTTCATGTTTAGATTATGCTTGTATGGCATGAAAGAGCATTGCTGTGCCAGACTCAGTGATACTGCAGAAAAAGATTGTTTTTGTAAACATTAACTAAAGATGTTAATAATGTTGCTAGGTGAGTTTACATTGTCAGGCAAAAGTAATCCAAGTCCCAGAGAATGCAAAGGGTTTTGAATATACTACAGGTTCTGAAATGCACCCATATTCTTTCAGAAACAGAAAAATCCCTAACACTGGAACAATGCAATTTTTTGATATTTTTGAATACTTCAAAAAGCAACACACCTAAAGGATGTCCTTGTATTCTCCACATGCAATCTCTCAGAGTTAAAAAAATAATGGTAATACTATTCGCATCTAGTCCTACAATTTAGTGAGATGAACAATAAAATGCTCAACAAAATTAATGTTTGGCTTTACAAAGATGGATAGTAAACAAAATTATAGTAGGAAGTGAAAGCTTAAGTACTCATAATTACCTACAAACCTTTTACATATGAGCATTTATATTTGCCATTTCTAGTACGCTAAGTTCTCATGTTTCCACTGACAGAAATTAAAGTTGCTTAGAACAATTCTTCAGAAGCCTTCAAAAAGGTGAACAATGATTATTGTGATCAGGATTAAAAAAACATAACCATGTGTTTGATATTCATAAGACAGAGCAGTATTCAGCAAGATGCTTGAATTGCCATCAGAACTTCTGCACCATTTAGATTTCCTCTTGCAAACAGTGCCACTACTTATATAAGTGAGATTTAGTGTGTGGGGGGGGAACCCAAATGAGTGGAAACTCTCATTTCTGGAAGGAAGCAGGTCAGCAATGCTCATATAAAGGAGTTCCACTGACAGCTTGAGTGCTTGTCTCCCTTGCATTAAGTGGTGGATCCCACTTGTGCAATCAAACTTGCAGACCAGTACTTGTGGATGGAAACTGTGGGAGCAGAAGGGAGTTAGTGGGGGGCATAAGAGCCTTTTTGGATACTGTCAAAAGAGTGATATTTGTAATTTTCCTAATCCTTGTTAATATATTCCAGACTTTAATTATGAGTTCAGCTGTTTGAAATGTCAGTTTCATGCAAGTTACATACAAATGAAAAGCAAACACAGCATATTGGTTACTTTCTTACGCAGATTAAATCTATGAGATTTTCTGCATTTGATACATTTGATACAATATGTGGTTTCTGCATATACTGTGTTGGATATGCTACTTAGCTTTTAGCTATGCTGAGGAACTTCCAGCTGACCAGAAGTCTAGGAAAAAGCATTTAGATATCTTCTTTGTAAAACTTGGACTGCACTAGTATAAAAAAGGTAAAGGTTTCCCCATGATTTAGTCAATTAGTGGTCTATTATCATTTCAGCTACATATTATAATCCAAACTCTCATTGGCAGTGGCTTCCTGTCATATCCATTCATCATTAGATTAGAGCTGTATAGATCAGCTATGTAACCAGAGTTGTTCTTAGTCAATGAGAAAAAGAAATAGCCAGTAAGTCACTGAAGCTACAATCCCATGCAAAGTAGCAAAAACTGGATAAGATAGAAAAACTATTAGGTAGATCCAAAATTGGCTGTTAAACAGTGTTCATCAATGACACCTTCTCAAACTGAAGAAAGATAACAAATGAGGTGCTACAGGGTTCAGTCCTGGGCCCAGTGCTCTTCAACATATTTCTTCATGATTTAGATGATGAAGTACAAGGAGTAATCAAATTTGCAGACAATACAAAACTGGGTGGAACAATGAACACCCTGGAAGACAGAATTAAGATCCAGGCAGACCTTGATAAGCTTGAACACTGGCTGAAAGTGACAAAATGAGATTCAATAAGGACTAATGTCAAGTCCTCTATCTAGGAATAAGAAACCAAATACATTGAGACAAGATGGGGAATATGTGGCTCGACAGAACTGAAAAAGTAAAAGACATTGGCATTATCATAGGCAACAGGTTAATTATGAGCCAACAATGTGATTCAGCTGCAAAAAGGGCAAATGCTATTTTGGGATGCATTAACAGAAGTATTACTTCCAAATTGCAAGAGGTAGTAGTTCCCCTATACACTAGTCAGACTGTGTCCAGTTCTAGGCACCAAGATTTAAGAAAGATGCAGAAAAATTAGGGTACAGAGGAGGGCAACAAAAATGATCCACGGTTTGGAAACATTGTCCTGTGAGGAGAGACTAAAAGAACTGGGTATGTTCAGCCTTGAGAAGACAGGTGGGGACATGATATCACTTTATAAGTACCTGAAGTACTATCACAAAGAGAAAGGACAAGATCTCTTCTCACTCATACCAGAGTTTAGGACAGAGAACAATCAGTTCAAGCTGTGAAAAACCAGATTCATGCTAGATATCAGGAAAAATTTCCTAACCGTTAGAACAGTACAACAGTGGAACCAGCTGCCTGGAGAGGTCATGGGCTCTCCCACACTAGAGATTTTCAACAAGAAACTGGACAGTCATCTGGGTGGGATGGTATGAATTGGTATCCTGAAACAGCAGGGGGTTGAACCTGATGGCCTTCTTGGCCCCCTTCAATTCTACTATTCTATGATTCTACGATTTAGACAGGAAAAAAAAAGACCCACATGTTGGCCAGGGCTTGCTGGGAATTCTTTATTTTTCTTTTTTGCATAAACATGCAAATGTTTACACTTGAAAGATGACTCTAACAGGCAAGTGCCCCTTATGTGCCAACATATCATGTCTTCACACATCTTCAATGTGAATGTTCTCTATTAGAAGACGAGTTAGCCCTAGCAAAGCTTTGGCATTTGCATTAACATATATTTGAATCTTTCCTAGCCTTTATGGATTGGCTTCAGATTTGATACTGAGCAAGTACAGAGCATGTGTACTGACTTTAATTCTGATGCACAAACTCCAAGGGAGAGAGAATATTACATGTATGCTTTGGTCTCCTTCAAAATGGATGCATCAGTATTGGTTTTCCAATTTGGACCTCTTTGATAGTGGCTATGGGCTGTTCCAGCTGTTTCTGGAAATGACCTTCTGAACACTCACTACATTGAATTATACTCGATACTCTTCCTGGTGCTTTCCAGCAATTTGCTAACACTCCCCTCCCCTCCCTGGCAACTGCCACCTGAGGCTAGGCTTTCATAGGACTGAATATGTTTGTGATCAAAGGGTGGTTTTAAAAATCTGATTTTAAACAAAAAGGAATGAAGAACAATCTCAACTGCGCATCATGATACCTGTTTTTTATATGTGGCACATCTGGAAAGACTGATCAAATATAATATGGCAATTTCAGAAACATGTAAAAGTATAACATCCTATAACCACAGAGCCATAGTTTTAAAAAATCCAAGCCAGAATGTCCTGAAACAAATTCTATAAATGTATTTTATATGCTACAACTGGGCTGCATTTGACCTCACAAGGTACAGAATACAGACATGCAATGGTTATATGTTCTTTTTGAGAGCTCATGGGAAAAGTAAACAAGGGGTTTCTGCTTCCAGAAATGCTGCACCATGGTGGCAGTTCTGCATTTGGTCTTTATTTAAATAGTTATGCATCATTACCTTTTCCAAGCTTCTGACATGTCACAAAGTATAATCTGAGTGGTTAGATCTACTTGTTGTTATTCTTTGTAGTCACTAGAGGACACTGTGGTGTCTACTAATGTGCCACATAGTCAAAATGGCCATATTTCAAATTTTTCTTCTGTATATTAATTAACATATTTTGATTTATATCTACAACATTAACTACTTACTATTAGCATCAATCTTTCTTAATCCATAAAATAAAAACATTTAGTCCTGTGGTTGACCCGAACATGAACTGCGTATGATTTGGGGGCCAGCTGTGCTGTGACTAATTTCTCAAAATATATTTTGAGTTTTGCTAGGTTTGGAAATTTAGCTACGCACAGCTTTGAATTCAATTGTTTAGTTTCCTGCTGCTCTTCTTGTATAGGTCTAGCAGGCAGTCTGGCAAGAGCTGAGGAAAGCAAACAGCAGAGGGAATTGTACTGACAGAAATGTGGATTCTAAGTGAGACATTATTTACTCTAGGGAATGTGATTTTGCTTTAAAACGAGGCACATGTTCCCTAGAGTAAATCAGTGTTTCACCCTGCTTTCAGAAGCAAATTCAGCAATGGGGGGGGGGGGTGTACGCATTGGGTAGGGGAGGGGATTTGGCTCCTCAGCCCCTGACAACTAATTCCTTTCCATTTTTTTCTGTCTTGATGCCAGAATATCAAAAAGGAAAAGCCTTTCTTGCTTTGTACACCCACA